AATGACGTCAAAAATGCTTTGAGCATGAATCGGACCGCGGCCGATACACTTTCTAGGGACTTTCCGACTAATACCGCTTTGCCGTTAGAAAATGTATCTCTTCATTGGACAGCGAGTCCGTTGCGTCGTCGACGATCGCCGAGTGCATTGTGAAGCCTGCGTAAAAGTAAGAGGTACCATAATGACGATCAAGTAGAAAGAGCAAGAAAGAGCGGAACGGAGGAGCGGAACATGGCGACGTGGTGTAACGCAAGTTGTTTTTGATCTCATCGTCCGCACATAATCAGGATTCCTACGTGCGAACAAAGTGCAGCTTATCCTGCTGTTTAGGAGCACAGATCGAGGGACGTGACACAGATCGTAGAAATATGAATTACAATCACTCAAATGCACGCCGAGGTAAGAGCGTAACCTACGAATGACAGATGTAAACTTGCTACATGTTTTTTCCGTGTATTTGCGTGTATTTTCGATATCAACAATATCGATAATCCTTAGTCTTGTTGTATTTATTTCGGTAATGCCCCTCTCGCGGGAAATAGGCTTGTTTGTGCGTGGATTGTTCTTTCTCACGAATAATATTAGTCATGTAATAGCGGCTTATTGTGCATAATAAGTCTGTTCTTTACAGCTACACTGTGCTATACTCTCTACACTTGAAACGAAATGTGCAATTAGATATGAGGAAAAAGCGGAGAGGGTGAAAAATATAAAAATATTTAGCTGCAAAGAACTTACTGTCTATTACATTTCAAATAGTGCAAATAAATAAAATTTTATTATTATTATCAAGTAGCATTTAAAAATAATTTTATTATTCTCATTTTACATAGAGATAAATTGTTTATTAACAGGAAAACCAAAAAGATTATTAGATCCATCAGCTGGTTTATCCACACCAACTCCTCCAATGACACAGAATCCATATATGTATAATCAACAGGTAAATTTTATCAAATCTATTATTCTATTTTATATAGCGTTTATTGGAATCAACCAATTTTAAACAAAATTGCTATTCTATTAGAAAAAGTTTATGTTAACATGTTTTTGTTTATATTTTTATATATTTATCAAATATATTTACAAAATTTCTGTTACATTGGATTTTCAATTATTACTTTAATTTTAGATGCCCATAAATAATGGTGCGATGCCAGAATATGGCTTTAATGTTGCTGGACAAGGACCATCTCCATATGGATTTAACCCACAAATGTCGAGTTACCCATCCAATGATAATCAAGGAAGAGAATTTGCGAGCTCACAATTCGCTACACAATTCTTGGCTCAACCAGTTGTCACAAACATGGCTGTACAATATGGAAACGCACTGGTTGGTACTGGAAAACAGCATTTTGAGAAATATGTGCCAGTTACAGCGTTGAAATATTACTTTGCTGTAAATACTGATTATGTCTTCACAAAATTAATGCTGTTGTTCTTCCCATTTACGCATAAGGTAAGTTTTATAAAAATTGCTTAAAAAAAGAAACGAATTTATTACACAGTTAAAATATTATTTTAATAATTTTGTTATTTTTTTGTTTTACATAAAAATAAATTTATAAAAATTAAAAGCTGAAGATATTAAAATCAATTGAAGTGTCTATCGCACAAATTCAATAATAATGCCTTCTTATAGGACTGGACTGTAAAATATGAACAAGATGTACCATTGCAACCACGATATGAGACTAATGCACCAGATATGTATATTCCCACAATGGCGTTTTTCACATATGTTGCTATGGCAGGACTAGTTTTAGGCATGCAAGGACGTTTCACTCACGAACAACTAGGTATACTAGCTAGCTCCGCTCTTGCTTGGGGTTTGATCGAATTACTCATTCATACCGTGAGTTTGTACGTGATGAATGTTCAAACGAGTTTAATGACATTAGATTTGGTGGCATATTGCGGATATAAGTATGTCGGTATTAACGCAGCTCTGTTAATATCGTTGCTATTTCGCAAGTTTGGTTACTATGTGATGCTACTCTACTTCAGCGCTTCTTTAGGTGTCTTTCTAATGCGATCATTAAAATTAAGAGTCATTCCACAAGGCCACAGTTCGTACACAGCCTCTGGTAATAAGAGACGACTTTACTTTATACTGTCTTTGGCTGGTATGCAACCCGTTTTAATGTGGTGGTTGTCGTATCATTTGATTTAAATAACATAAATGCGAGAAATCTATAAAACATATAGCAAGGAAAGAGAGAGAAAGAAAAGGAAAAGAAAATTGTATATTTATTATTTGGTTACTAATATCACCTGTACATTTTTTGTAATAAAACCCAATATTATATTATCACTTAGATATATAATGCATTAGTTTGTTTTTACATTTCTAACGAATAAAGACATTTTTTCAATTGTGGTACAAGGTCATTTTATATTTTTTTTTTCACAAAATCGGATATATATAATGAGATTCGTCTGAAAATGAGTTTCTATCAAATGCTATCAAGCAATGTTTCATCTTGAGATTTCGAGATTTGAGGGTTCTCTTTAGTGGGAGACGTATATTTCAAGATTATATCTATACGACTTTTTTATGTATTGTTCACATGTTTACGTAAATTGTTTTCATGTAGACAATACATGTAAATTATTGTAAATTGGGAAATACAGAATACAATATAGAAAAAAGTAATTAAGTTTTAAAATTAATATATATATTAATATATATATATATTTGATTTTAGTGTATTAATAATAAAAATATATACTACTAAAAATTAAAAAGTTGTGGTAAAATGATAAAATTTTCATTATATTAGATTCAAATAAAAATATCAATTTATTTTCTAATTAATTATGTATTTATTATATATGTTATATGTATCGTTTGTAAATAGTATATTTTATTTAGACAAATTTTATATACAAAATGTCCCACAACTCGCGACCGAAATTTTTATTCCTGACTTAAAAATAAGACGAAAATTCTAATACGAAAATGCCAAGGCATATAATAGTTTTTAAATTAATAGCGATTAAACCAAAGTGACTGAACCAAATGATTTTTGACATCTCCATTTGAGCTAAATGTTTTTTTGTTTAAAGAGTTTTGTAAAAATCAAAACAAGTAATAATTGGAGGGTGCCAAATCTAGCGAATATAGTGCGGTAGCACATCTCATCCAAGCTGTAATAGTTTCTGGCTAATCATTAAATTTGTATTAAGTCTGGCGTTATCATGGTGGAACACTACGTTTTTTCTTTTGTTGATTAATTCGGATCTCTTCTGCCTGATGGAATCACTCAATTTGTCCAATTGGCGGCAGTACACTTTCGAATTATTTGTGGAATTATCTGAGAAATTCAAAAAAAACAATACCCTTGAAATCCCACCAAACAGAGAGCATCATTTTTTTGGTGAATATTGGCTTTCGTGCTCTGAGCTGGCTTACTCGTTCTGATCACTTGCGTTTAACATTGTTATAAACAATCCATTTTTCATCGCCAGTTATGATTCACTTCAGAAATGGATCGCTTTCTTCACATTTAAGCAACAAATCGCAGATGTCAATATGATGAAGCAAATTTTTCCTTGAGGACATGTGGAACACAAACATCGAGCTTTGAAACGAAACCAAGTCGTTTCATATGGTCATGAATGGTCGAATTCGACAAATTTAATATCGTTGCAATTTCTGTTATTATTTGGCGGTTTGCTTCAACCAATGCCTTTATCTTGTTCTTATCAGTTACAACTGACCTTCCAGAACGTGATGCATCCTCAAGATCGAAATTGTCGGAACGAAATTTTGTAAACCAGTTTTGGCACTGGCGTTCTGTTAATACATCTTCTCCGTATAGTTCACATAATTTCTTTGAACTGCAGTTTTACCTTTTCAGAAATAAAAAGAAAATATACAGAAAAAATATACAGAAAATGCTCCTTCTGATTTTCCATTCTTAAAGTGACATACGAAAAAAACTACCGCACAGAATCACAAGATTTTTATAATAAATATATTTTGATAGATTAGCTATCAGAATACATGAGGACAATATTATTAGATTTAGAATGAAGTTAGCTGATTAGTCTCGGTCGGGAGCGTCCCGTTTGACCACGCAATTGGACAGCTGCGTACAGCGACTGATGCCTTGAGATTTTTTTATTAAATCAACCAATCAAATAATTATATTTTAAATTGGCCACTTGGCAACGTGAGCAATCGGGCGCCACCCATCCCGGGCTACAATAGGTTTATTTAAGCCTTAAGCCATAAGAAATTGACCAATCATAGATGATTATTCTCCTATTCTTCGATTCCTATTCTATGATTTGTCCATTTCTTATGGTTTAAGGCTTAAAATCACTTATTGTATACCGGGACTTAGGAATACAACTAACGACACACGTAGGAAAAAAACGAAATTACTTTCCGAACGGCCCAATATTAAATAAGTCTTCTATAATTAATTCAGGTTATAGTTTACGTGGATGACATTTTATACGTAATTTATATAATTTACAAAGTTTACATCGTTTACGCGCAATTCAATATAGACTATATATTTTACATTACTGTACATTTTACTATACATTTTACATGTACAGACTCTGCTCCTGTTCCTTGATATTCCTGTTTCGATCGTACGTATGTACAACGTCGATAATAATTGGCTCCGATAAAATTATTTCGTATCGAGTTGGCGAGATGTCGCGGCATGTCCCTCCTGATTCCGGCAATTCTCATTCCGGCTGATCGCGCACGGGCAGGCAGAGACGCAGAGACGTGGCGCCACGGGGCCAACCCGGAATCGCCCGTCGGCGTCGGCGAGGCTTTCCGCGTTGGGCCGCGTTCTTCACTGTTCTTCACGGTCATTGATAGTAGTCGTCCGCGAGCAGCCGCGGGACGTGGTGAGACGTAGGTGTTGCGCGTGTGTCTCGTGGGCCGTCAGGGCCAAAAATGGCGGAACGGATGAAGGTGACGGCCCCGGCCACTCGGCCCGTTCCCATGAAGCTATTTGCCACCTGGGAGGTGGATCGTACTCCCCCGAATTGCATACCCAGGTAACAAAGCATATTTTCGCAACGATCTTTCCGGCATTTCTCGAGCCGCGTCGCGCTTCGTTTGGCATTTGATTTTTTTTTTTTTTTTTTTTTTTTTTTATGGTGGACGCCAAGCAACGCGTTTCTCCGACTCCGCGACAAGCGTTCGCACACGTTCTTTTGTTCCCCCGCTCGATTTCACTCGGGGTGTCTATCTTAGGGTGATCGTATTTTCGGGTCCACCTTGATTCACGAGCGGACGGACGCCTCGAGTCTCTTTCTTCGCAGTTGAGTCACAGAGTCGTATGACACACGTCGCATCCACTTGTGACTGAACGAAACGACAACGACGATCGCAACTGTCAACGAAAACTGACAGATCCGCGCTTATCGCGCTTATGAATGGAAACGAGTTCGCCTTCCGTAATCATTGATATTTTATATCGCGTTTAATATTCTTTATGCTCTTTATTCTATATATTCTTAGAACAAGCGATAGCAGATCGATATTTATTATTGTTAATCTCCGATGTCGACGAATGACACATATCGGAAAAATGTCAATACGAAAAGTTAATACGAGGCAAATTATTTCTCGTTATTTTCGTGAACATTTGAAATAGAATGTTGAGAGATGTTGAACGTCAACGATATGTTGAAGGATCGAGAGATATTGGCAAGTTTTACAAACAGAAATAAATAATATTAACAATAAATAAAAAATCTCCCATTAAATATGAAAATTTTAATTAATCTACGTTTAATCTTCAAATGTATTTAAATGTATTTAAATTTCTTTTTCTTTATCCTAAAAAATATATACGATATAAATTTTTAGTTAAAAATTATAAATCTATAAAACAATCCTGATTTCTTTAAATTTTTATATTACATCTACATACAATTGATCAATAATGAGTAATTAACAAATTCAAAATTCTGTTAAAATTTTTTTCTTTTAAATTTACTCTCTGTTTGTAATTCAAATTTTGAAACGTAATTCTAATAAGAATACAGTTATTATAATTGAGTAAATATTCAGACAAAGGAAAACCATGTTGTAAACCACTTTAGTAAGCTATTAGAAACAAATGGTACAAGAAGATATTATTATTTTTTTTTGTAACGTTCGAAAAGTATATAACGAACATATTTTATCTATCATATATACAAATTAGTTACTTGAAACGTTTTATATTGTCGATGATGAGAGTGTTAGGTTTAAATGAAAACTAGGGCGTTTTTCAATTCGCGAGCGCGACATCAAAGATGCATTTGTTCCGATAAATTCTTATCTAGTTTTAGATATCTACAACGCCAACTTTTAAATGTCTATATATATGTTATCCGGCAAAACTATGTCCTTTTCACTATAAATATCTTAATCGATTGTAAAGTTATGTCGCGCAAAGAGACTGCTGCGTTTATCTTTATCTGTATGTACGCAGCTAGCGAACCGCGTTGGCGCATGTGACGAAATACGATTATTGTATTTTAAACTCTCGATTACTGGCAAACCACTGATATCTGGCACGTGTTTGGCAAAAGTCAGCGGTTAATTCGGTATAAATTCGAATGCGCTCGAATGCAGTCGTGACTATGTTAATTAGCCGTCACCGGTTACAATACTGTCGATTTCTCTAGGAAGTTCTTTCCCTAAAAAAGATTTTCCGAGACGCCTTGAGGATACGTCGCGAGCAAAATTTATAAATATACAACAGCGATGCGAATGCGTATCTCATCGAAACGGCACTTGATATCGGCATTTCGAACTACGCAGATCTCAAATGTCCTAATCCCGCGTTTAAGTTTAACGATTATATCGCTTATCTTCAATCGTGGATAGAGATTAAATATTACGATACTTGCCCGCGCATGTCGAATATTTTATTCCTTGGATTATCCGAGAGCACTTTTATCGG